TCTCTCTCTCTCTCTCTCTCTCTCTCTCTCTCTCTCTCTCTCTCTCTCTCTCTCTCTCTCTCTCTCTCTCTCTCTCTCTCTCTCTCTCTGTGGTCCTTATCCCACTATATGATCGCAGGTCACAAGGTGTACATGTAGTATGGGAATGGGGAAGATCAATAAGAATGACAGCAACCAGCAAAGTTCAACCAGGCGACAGTGCCTGTGGGTGAGCAAGCAGTACTGGAGTGACAACCCTCCAGATGGCCATGTCTGCAGGTTTGGCGGAGAGCTCTTTCAGTTATTCCCAAATCACGAATCACGAACTGTAATCTATGATGAGGAAATATTGTTCTTTGTCGACAGCTCTTAATCTCCTTGATCATCCATCAGCGATTCAGCGCACATTTCTTTCATTATTCGAGGCCCCTGCAACAGTCAGAAGACTCAGAAGAGTCAGAACCCATTCCCTTTCAGAAAGAGAGGAAGGGGAAAAACACTATAGGCGTAGGGGCATTGACACAGATCTGAAAGGGCATGGGTTCTGAGTCTTCTGACTGTTGCAGGGACCTCAAATGGTGTTGTGCTGTATTTGCAGCAGTACGGATCGTATTTAGTATTTACTTATTTTGAGAGGAAGGAAAACACTGTAGGGGCATTTGACATAGAAATGAAAAATCCAACCTCATCAATGGGTGTTGTGCTGTATTTGCGGGAGGACTGATCATATTTGCTTACTTTTGTTAACGGGCTTAATCTTCGCTGAGTTGATTTGTTTTTGCTAAATTGCGTCTGAGTTTACAGCTAGAATTGCTTGGTCTTTTCCTCCACCTATGGTGGAGTAATCAATGCTGCTCAGGGGTCCTCCGGCCAAACGGGAGGAAGCGTGAGTTTTTTGCTGTAATGTAATGTATTTTTCTGACTTGCCGGTGGAATAGGAACCGGACTGACGCTCCCCAGAATAGAAGGAGTCAGGACCAGAAGGCCCTGTTTGTTTTGGAAAAAAAAAAAAAAAAAGAATTGCTTGGCCAGGCGTGCTGTGTGTTGGAAAGACTCAATTTCCCCAAAATGGATATGGAGCCAGGGCCATAAAGAGTATAGTACGTTTCCCAGCCATTTTTCTCCGACGGGCCTTGCATGCTGCTGCAACTTTCGGGGGTCCCGCGGCCGGAGCAAAATGGCCCCGCTGTGCTAGCCAAAACGAGCCTGCGCCGGTTCGTTTTCTTTTAACACGCAGGGCGTTCAGAGGCCCGGGCAAAAGTGCCTACCTAGGAAGTACTCGTGGTTTAAGGACCTGTCTCCTTAGAAACACAAGAACAAAAGAAAAAAGAACAATTTGGTCATGGATGCTGTGTATACTACTGTATACCAAAATTGACACTACCTCATGATCTGCAAGGAAATAAAAAACGTTTTTCTGGTAGCAGAAAATTCCCTGGCTACTGCTTTCCTGGATGCATCTGACGACATTTACGGCGAGACCTGAATCTATATGACTGGGATTACGTCGACATCAGTTAACTACGCAATGAAGAACAGAAGTAAACCAGATTGTGACATCTCACAGAAGAGCCGAGAAGACCACAGACAAAATTGAGCCAAATAGAAAGCAGCAATCCAACCGACATGCGCACCAAATAGGAACGAGCAATACACCGAAGTCTCGTGATAAAGAAAGCCTTCCCAACCTCTCCAATCATCAAAGCCTCAACAATGTACTACTCTTAATGGCGTCCTGAACGCCCACTCTACTTCCTGCCTTCTTCCCCCAAATACAATGTACGGTCATTATAGCTGTATCTAGACTGAAAGATGCCTCAAATACAGCTATAGTGACCGTACGTTGTATTCGGGGGAAGAAGGTAGCTCCTGCGCATCTAGCCTATCTACATGCCAGCAATCAGTCCGAGTGTCAATCAACCGATGGCGTTGAAGACTCTGATCAAACAGCCTGCGTTCTTCAACACCAGGTACGTGCCTTGTTTTCACCACCTCCCTTCTCTCTTCCTTCCCCAAAGATCACCGCACTTCCACCATCCGGCTATGGCACCCGCTGCCCGGCTATGGCAGGTGCCCACCTCCTCCTTCCTTGCTAGCAAAGAAAAAAAACAAGCGTAGATATCCCATGAACAAAGTCGTAGCTTCGTCCTCAGTTTGATATGAAGTACAAGATAGAATTATTAAAGGTAATAAACTTAAATAAAGTAGGCAGTGTGGTAAAAAAGAAGAAAGTTCAAGAAACTAGTTTTTTGAGAGTCTGTAGATCTCAATCCAAGAGTCAAACAAGAATGAATACCACATATAAGAGTAAAAAGTACTAAACACTAGACTTCCTACTACTATAGTCAAACAATTGACTATTGAATATTGAAAATGACCACAGGAGCTTCCTCCACAAGCACAGCACTCAGCTAATGCTTCAGCAGCACTGCCGCATTGGCACAAGGCCCAATTGTGCAAGTCTGGGCGGCCAGCCTTCTTTTGCGCCGTCTGGCAAGGCCGGAGAGGCCATGAGCAGGCTGCACCCTAATATGGCGCCCTTTGCCCGGCTATGGCAGGTGCCCACCTCCTTCCTCGCTGCCACCGCAGCAGCTTCCTCCATGAGCACAGCGCTCAGCCACTACTCCAGCAGTGCTGCCGCATTGGCATGACGCCCAAATGTGAAAGTCTGGGAGGCCAGCCTTCTTTTGCGCTGGCTGGCAAGGCCGGAGTGGCCGTGAGCAGGCTGCGCCCTATGGCGCCCTCTGCCCGGCTATGGCAGGTGCCCACCTCCTTCCTCGCTGCCACCGCAGCAGCTTCCTCCACAAGCACAGTGCTCAGCTATTGCTTCAGCAGCACTGCCGCATTGGCACAAGGCCCAATTGTGCAAGTCTGGGCGGCCAGGACAGCCAAGGCCGGAGAGGCCATGAGCAGGCTGCGCCCTATGGCGCCCTCTGCCCGGCTGTGGCAGGTGCCCACCTCCTTCCTCGCTGCCACCGCAGCAGCTTCCTCCATGAGCACAGAGCTCAGCTACTACTCCAGCAGCGCTGCCGCATTGGCACAATGCCCGAATGTGAAAGTCTGGGCGGCCAGCCTTCTTTTGTGCTGGCTGGCGAGGCTGGAGAGGTTATCAGCAGGCTGTGCCCTGTCCCAGTACCCTGTGCGCTGGGCCCTTCCGGAAGATTGTGCAGGCCCAGCCTTTGTAGCCAACTCATGGGTTGGGCCTACCAGTTGGTTACACGCTGGACGCTAACAAGTGCCCCGGGCCCCTTTTTCTTACGTCAGCTTTCACTTAAGGCAGGCAGGGTCTTTTTCAGCACTGCCACGTCCTTTCCTGCCCGGCCAAGGGCCTAATTCCGCGCACATTCGTACTGACGTTCAGCAATTTTTTTGGGGCTGTGTATTGAATTACAAAGTTAATACAAACTTTAAAAACTTATGAAGGTTATATTTGTAAGTCAGAAATAGCGACCACTTTCTGTACCTGAAATTCCAAGATTTGTTCTGATCACAACATTCCAGTTTGCCACTGTCAGAATGCACTCCTGTGTCTGCTCATTGCCGTGCAGATCATGCGTCTGGGCATGTGTGTTGAGGTGCACTTTTGGGGCTGTATGAGGCTTGACAAACTTAAAAAGGTGATATTTTGAACTCAGAAAGTGGAGATCACTTACCATATCTGGAATTTCCAAGATTGCCATTAAATAATAGAAATTGCCATTAATCCTAGGCTACCAGAGTGGACCGGGACCACTTGCCCGGCAGGGCCAAAAAACAATAAAAAGAGAAAAGTAAAACAAATATTTTTTTCTTTTTTTACTTGGTAAAGGATTTCAATGTGACCCTGAGGCAAAAGTTGGTATAACTTGTTCAGTTTATTTAAATTATTTTTCTGCATAACATAGGTTGTTTTTCATACTTTTTCGATGTTGTTGTTGGGTTGTTGTTGTTGTTGTTGTTGTTGTTTTAACTTCTTCTTCTTTTTTTTTTTTCTTTTTTTTTTTTTCTGGGACTTACGTTGACCCTTGCACGGCCGGGCCGCCCGGGCAAACAAGGTCACCCGGGCTGCCCGGCTGGTAGCCTGGCATTAACCGCAAAACTCCAGAATTGCCAATGTTGGGATGCACCATGGTGTCTGCATAATGGAGTGCAGAATCTGCAAATCATGCATTGGGGCATGTGCGATGAGGTGGATTCTGGTAGGGTGGCAATTGTGTTAACCACCTTAGTTTCCAATGGAGTTTTTTTGAAATTCCAGATGCAAAAACTGGTGGTCGCATAATTTTCTCATTCAGATCATTCCAAGAACTTTCTTGTACGATTCAGTCCTGGAAGCATGATACTCCCAATAAGTGGACACTGGACACCTTCCGTTCTTCCCAGGTTTCGGCGGAATACGAGTTGTTCTCCATTCAAATTCTCCTTCGACAATCGATTCTTGAGGGTTCAAAAGTTTTTCAAGCTTCGAAGGTACTGTCAATTGTTCTTTGATCGGGACCCGGAATCGCCTTTTGTGATCATTTATATGCGATTTTCCAGATTCCATAGCGTCCGGGACGCTATCTCGCCGAAAACTGTGGACAAACACAAGCTGGGAAAAAAAGGGAAGAAGAACCCTGCTAAACTGGTCTCACCTGCACTGTCCACATCCATGGTCCCTTCATTCAAAAGTTGAAGCTCTCATAGCCCAGGTACAGCCGATGGCGGGGCCGGCAGCTGCTCTGTTTGTGCCCCGCACTCAACAATCAGTGTTCCCTCAATTGTTGGGGGTATGAGGACTGCCGAAATGTAATGAACCGTGGCATTCGTGGCTTGGATAGCACCCGGACGACTGATCCAGGCGGTATAATCGATCACCACTTCATTCCGCGTTTCCACGTACTCAATCTGATGTCAAACATTAAATGAAAAATGAGAACATATGTGAGCTCAAATCTACTAAATTGAAAGAAGAAAGAACTGGAAAAGAACATGCGCTACAACTCGCACGAAGCACAAGCTCTAAGTGGGCAAACGCAAAGGGAAGGAAAGGGAGTCACTATCAGAGAAGGCAAATAAAAGGACATGATTCTGCCAATTGAGAAGCAAATGAAACAAAACAAGCTTAAGACCCGATGCAAGCATGTGGCATGCAAAACCAAAAGGAGATGGCCAACAGGAGCGCAAAAGAAGGTGTGCATGCATTAAACACACACAAACAAAAAAAAACCGAGATGAATATGCACAGAAAAGATAAACATCGACCTTGACAACCGTTCAAGAGAATCATCATGACAGTGAAGATCACCTAATATTCCCACAGATGTACTAGCCAGATGTCAAAGTCCAGCGCTGTTTATATGAACAAGTTTTAACAAGAACTATGACAAGAACAACAACAAGAACAGCAACAGCAACGGCGACAGTAACAAAAAGTATCACAACAGCAACAACAACAACAACAACGACGACAACGACGGTGACGACGATGATGACCACAACAACAGCAACAACAGCAACAACAGCAACAACAGCAACAACAGCAATAACAGCAACAACAGCAGCAGCAGCTGCAACAGCCAAGAGCTGCAACCACTATGACAATGACGACGACGACGCAGCAGCAGCAGCAGCAGCAGCTGCTGGGCCCGAATCGAAATGCTCTTGCCGCCGTGTAAGCCACCAAGAGCATACTCTTTTATTTTATTTTTTAAACACACACATAAATGTTGATGATAAAACACAGCGAGGGGTAATGGTAAAAGCATGTACCCCTAGCTATATTCATAGGTGGCTCCGATCTATTGGTGGGGAGCATCACGTGCTGGAAACCGGGTCCAGCGACCCATGATAACGTACAAGGATGAGCACAGGTGAACTGGCGGTTGAATACAAAGGGCTTATAGTTTCCCTCGTTTCGGTTGCTGATACTTGCACAATGTAAGCAGTTGAGTTTCGTGAATTTCTGTTTATAGACACCCATTTGAGTCATGAGTGAGATTACGCGTTGAGGGCATTGCTTTTGCATTTTGTTTTCTTTTCCCCTCTTTTGTTTGTGCAATTTTCCATATACCAAGCGTTCCCGAGGGGACTACTTCGAGGCAGAAGCAATCCCAAGGGGAGGGCGTGGGACGATTGATTGAGAAATCTATCATCACAAAGAACTTGAAAGAAGGAACATTATACATAGCCGTATACCATAACAACGACGAGATCATGTGCACAGATGGCTTTTCTACTTCATCCTTGCTTTTTTTCGTTTTTTTTTTAACTGTCACTTGACAGTGCTAAGCCTAACCATCCAAACACACAGTGACAGACCGGTCTGCCAGCATCCAAACAC